ATGAGCATTTGAAAAAATCCGAATCAGCAAAATCGTGGGAAAATATAAATCGTCAGAAACAACAGGGCTTGGGGTGGAAGAAAGCTTAAACACACCCTACTTTCTCTATTTTAAAAAAATCTGTTCAAACAGCCAAACAATCCGTTTAGGGATAAACAATAGTTTCCCTGTGTCTGTGCAGTCTGTCTTTCTCATTCTCTTTCTGCATCTTCTCCCCACACAATATTCACAGCAGGCATAGAGACATTTTACTGTGACATCAGGCATGGAGACATTTTAAGAATGGAGATCTGGAAGAAATATTGGAAACTGACTGTGTGAGAGTGGCATATTTGAGGCTTCTTTATATGCAAAAGCTGGGAGATGGAACTTTTAAGGCGAACTCAAGATAAACAACCTACTTTTAATTGTCTTAGACTCATCGATAATGCACCTGACAGAACTACATTAGAGTAATGTTTAAATTTTGCTTCAGGAGAAAGCCCACAAACAAAAGGGAGTATCTGTTGTATTTATATTGATATGTCATTAACTGTATGGCATTTTCTTTAGATGTGATTTATCTGTTAGCCTGACATGTCAAAAAATGTGAGGCATTGCTACGTCTCAGTCTGGCTCTCTGCTGCAATACTGCATTAAAATCAGAATAGAAGAGGCCTGAGGGCAAATGAGGATTTCAAGCACTTCCATCAACCTGCGACTACATGAGGACCAAATCTACAAGGCTGAGTAATGAGTGCTCACTTTTTTCTCCCCCTCAAACATAGTGGGAGATCCATAATTCATTGAAGCAAAACTTAAGCTTATGCATTACAGCTGCCACTGCTTTAAAAAGATGTGCACATTTTCTGCCCTTCTTTTGAATGTCCTCAGTGCTCTGCTTTAGTGCACGCTCATTTTGTGTTTCTAACTTCAGCTGAAGGTGGCTTTAATAACACGGACACCATGGAGATGACTCTGTCATTGAAGAAGATGATACCTGGTTTAATGTCAGAGAATGGAAGAAGGCTAACCTAAGCCAGGGGCAAATTTGAATTTGGAGCCATTTAACAATTTATGGAAAAAAGGACCAGAGAGTAATGGAAGCAGGTCTAGTGGGAATAAAATCTAAATGCTAAAAACAGGATAGGAAGGTGAAAAGGAGTAAGAGGGAGAGACAGAAACACATAGAGAGGGAGAGAGAGATAGTGAGACACTGAGAATATATGACCTAGTTATGCCTTTTACTTTGCATTCCCTAGTCTAGGTGTCCTGGTATCCTAGGTGATTTGGGTTTTGGGGAGGCCAGGAGGCTTGAAGGAAGGAAGGGCAAAGTTAGAACTAAACCAGGAGCATGCTCCAGTGGTGTGGCTAGTCAGGTGGATTAGCCTGCTCCCTCCCAGGGCAAGGTTAGACAGAAGCATAGTCAGGATGCCAGACAGTCACAGCAGAGCCAGAGCATTCTCCTCTTTCACTCCACTCCCCTCCTTCCAGCCTGCTGACGTCAGCCACCCAGACCACACGACTATGCTGCAAACAGCACACCTGCTGGCTTCACAGTCCATCTGGCCCAGCTCCATCTCTGGCTCATCTCGCCAAGCAGAAATGCAGGTCTGTTTACAACCTGGGCACACAGTCACGATCCTACAGTAATTGCAGTATCTATTTCATGATTGCTCATGGCGGAAAGGAGGCGTTATTGCAGTATACCCTGCTGATAATAACAGATAACAAAGTGACAAAAACATGCATGTCTTATTAATGTTTCATTGTTACACATATCAGGTTAAATATTTCTTTTGTATGTTATGGAGCAGCTTTAGTGTGTCTACATGTTGCTGACTACTCAGTAAATTCACTCAGGATTTCCTCACATCTCTTTCCTACAAGCACACACCATCCACAAAGAGAACAGTTTTGCCTTGTAATTGATGTGACAAGCCCTCTCACCTACTTTTTTATGAAATCAGCATGAACATGAAACTGCACAATCATCAAAGCAAGGCTTCTACTCGTGGAATAAAAGGCAGAAAAAGACATTTTTAATATCAGGGCCTTGTCTTGTTTTTACCTTTCAAAGCAATCTGTCTCAGCTGACAATATCAATTGTTGTAAGAAGAAAACCACCATAAATGCACTATAAAAGCTGTGGTCTCAAACTGATAACATTCAATCCTGCATCAACATCACGTAGCACCTTTTAGCCATGCTTTTACCAGTGATCTACAAGAGCCACATTGTGTAACTTAGTAGGCATTTTTTCCAGAGCGGCAATGGGATACCCTATGTGCATTATTGATGTCAAAGATTCAAGGGAAACTGCATGAGCAACAACATTAAATGGATGCGTTTAATACCAAAAAGCAGTAATACAGCCAGCAACTCTACATTAAGCAAAGAGACAAAGCAAAATCCCCCCAAAAAACGCCTTTTCAGAGACAAATTTTCAAAGTGTAAAGTGCTTTAGGCATCCCATCAACCTGAGCTTGAGGGAAATGCAATGTCTGTCTTACAGAGCTCCCTGACGTCTCAAAGCCTGCCACCAAATTCATTGATGGGATCTGGCAAGGATGGGTCATGTGGAGGAAGTACACCCCCCCCCCCCCCCCCCCTGATTCAACCTTATGTTATTTGAAATGACAAAAATAATTCTACACATTCCTATTCAGGGTCAGCTATTTCCATTGGTAGACACCAGCAGGACATGCAGGCACTTGCTGTCTCTTCAGCTCAAACACTCGCCTCTCTGTCTGCCAGGTCAGACACAATTGCAGCGCTATTCAGTGGTCTGCGGAGTGAATAAAACTGGTCGACAGGTGACTAACCTGAATGGTGCAAGTATATTCCGTATCATCCAGCAGTCTGACGGTGCAGCTGTATTCCCGCTCAAGATTCCTGATGCTGCCACTCATGAATCGGCTCAACATCTTCTCGGAAGAATCGCTGCTCTGCGTCTAGGACCAGAACAATAAACTCAACGCCAGCGTGCAAGTGAATGTCACATTGACCACACTCCCCGGTCCCCTAAACGACCAGCAGCTACGTATTCAGCCGCCGAGGCGTGCACCATTGTTGTCCCGATAAGTTTTCGTGCAGTGGGCCCGTGCTAAGAGCAGAATCCAAGGATGCCCGCATCCAGATCCAGAGGCAGCTCAGCCCTGTAGTGTCTGTGGTCGAGCCGAGGATTATCTCTCACCACTCACCGCTGCCACTTGAGCAAGCGGGCGGGTCCCAATGAAAACTGACGTCAAAGTGAACCAACGGCAGTGTGTGGCTTTTTGTCTGTGCTCTAATATGCTATATTGTTTTTCTTAACGACGCAATTTGTCCTGGCACAATTGCTACCCTGTTTAAAGAAATTGCATGGTCTTCTGTTATGAAAAACCTGTGGCGGAGAAAATGCACACATCCAGAAAACCCAGGCTAAACTTTTGTAGGCTGAGAGGTGTAAGTTATACATTATGGGTGTGATTAGGCCTAAATACAAAAGATAAAATATCTCCTCCGTTAATTTTGTGAGGAGCACCAGAAGCTACATGTGAATAGAAAATATGTATAGCGCATGTATAAATCTTGTGGGGTAGACTATTTCCCTGTGATTGCAATCCTTTGCAAAGGAACCAAAACTAGACTGGTAGGCTGCTCAAAAACCACTGGCCTCGGGAGTCGAAGCACTCTAATGGTTTCCTAAAACTTAAGGTTAGCAACCCTGTGAGGTGGACAAGGCATTTTTATCTGAACTGTTCCTGTCATAGTTGGTGAATATTGAATGTATTCGACTGCCACCTGCAGGCCAGTCGTCGTTAGTGCGCTTTAAACAGCCTTGAGGTCTTATAATAAATCTATGGAGTGAACCCGTGAATGAAAGTAATGAAAATGCATTTGGACTACTGTCTGGACCTTTAGGGGTTTAAGAAGGGTGGTGCAAGGCCCCTGGAAAAGCGGTGTAATTTTACTGTCATTTAATTTATTTCCATTAAACTAAATTTACGCCTATACGTTATACAATGGCATAACTTCATTAATGTTTTGATTACAGCAAGAAATAAAGGCAAAAATGTACTTTCAATGGTGTGTAAGCTTTTCATCCTTACTAACGTTCAATTTACACACGTCAGTCATCAAGCTAAACGGTTTAGTGGCAACTAAACCATTTGAGACAATTGTAAATGGTCGGGGAGCCAAACATAAAAATCCAAAACTTGTATAACAGCGGGCCAAGTTTTACATCAAATTGGTATGGTAAACTACAGTACCAGCGCTGGAATTAGAATTACAGTAAATACCTGAAAATCCAAAAAAAGAACCCCTCCATCGGTGGTTCTCTGCCGTGACCCGGATTCGAACCGGGGTTGCTGCGGCCACAACGCAGAGTACTAACCACTATACGATCACGGCGAGCTATTGGGGACTGGTGCACAACGTGGATAATCTGTCTATATAAAGGACCTACCTGAGCTCGTATGTTGCAATGTCAGATAGTTTTCTGGCTGTCCTGGCTGTACCTCAGTGTCTTTGTGACTTTAAATGCTAAAGTGACGAAAGGAAGCAAAAATGACAAATGTATGCTATTAAGCTAACTTTAGCTAAGGTTTAGCTAGCTTTCACTAACAGTAAGGTGGACGCAAAATTCCCAAAGACGTGGACATCATTTAAGACGGTAAATTGTAAACATAAAAGCTGTTCTTACATTGACAATAATGTTCTCGCAGTCCTTCGTCTAATTTTGGTTCGAACTTAACGGAGTGGCGAGTAACTTTGCTTAACGCTAGGCGTTAGCTGCGTTTTCAGCTTCACCAAGTAGTGCAAGTATAGCTACTTCACAGTTGTACGCAAATGTTTGCGCAGCCTTGGGCGAATTAAATATTTTGCAGATTTTTTAAGTAAGTAAAACACTGGCAGCAAATAAAAAAATTGCCTTTCTTCAAATGGTAACGGACTGTTATCATTTGTCAACGGTTTAAGTTTATTTCATTATCTCAAAATAAGAACTAAAGCAGAAAAATACAGAAGAAACCCAATGAAATTGGTAGTCTTTATTTGATAAATTATTGACAGCAATGGTCTTTTTTTGTTAAATTAGGCTAGCCAGCTTGCCACTGATGAAAAAGTGTCATAAACAATTATTATATTAATTTATATTATATAAATTTTAAGTATTATACAATTTATGATGAATTCAGTGGTTAGCAAAAGTAAGTGTTAATGTTTCTTCAGTGTTGCTGGGAATAAAATGCTAAGACAAACTAAACACAAAACTCAGTCACACACTTATTCATTCATCATCATCAACCACAGACAGGTGAGATACATGATCAGCAATGCATTCCTAATCACGTGAGTAAAAAACATCAAAATCTCAGAGTAGTAAGTATTTACAGTAATGGAACCAGAAAGGTCTAATGTCGAAGAGCAAAGTCTCGCAGTTCATTCTCATCATTTTCTTCAGGTTCATTGCTCCTTGTAACTGCAACTTTAGCAGCACACTCTGCCTTTCTGGTGAAAGGGCGACATGGACCAGCCACAGTCTGATGCAGCAGTGGTTTGCTGCTTGAAATGTTGCCCATACTTTGAGCAGAAGCACCTTCGTGTTTTTTGTCTGTTGCTGCATGATTCCTCCTCCTGTACAATTTACAGGATGCCACCAGAGGTTTTCCTATGTCCACATGTTGGCTTTCTGTCTGGCGCAGCTTACTGTCTGTGTGAGTATAGTGTAGATCTACCTTGATGACCAGCGATTCCTAGCAAAGGCAAATAACACATCAATCACATTTATTGTACAGACTTTCTGGTAAAGAATTAGTGTTTGTTTTTCATAGGAACAGAAATGGGACATACAGTATATCACTGACTGCATACCTTAAGCCTCTGAAGAGCGCAAAGCCTCAGAGTGCAGTCTGGGTTATCAGAGGACTTAAATAGTAGAGAGTCCAAATCCTCTGACCTGCCAGGGCCAGAAAATATGTCTTGCATTGCCTAAGGATTCAGAGCATAAAAGATTTGATTAGTATGAGTTAACCAACTTCATCAAAATAAATAAATACTTCCTGCATTTACAGTGTTTTGGCACTGAATCTCTGCCAGGATGTGGTGGAACAAGTGCCACAATGAATCAGCCACTAGATGTCAATATGGTCCAAGGTTCTGTAGTCTACAGCATGTATGTATTACTAAGAGAAGTGTTGCAGATTACTAGTACTACATCCTGCTTTGTCTTTGTCTGTGGTTGCAGCAGACTGGAAGTCTATATATGGGCAGAACTTCCTCAAACATGTGAAACGTGGGGGTGAATGGTCAACATTGAGAAATTCCTGCTGGCTAATGGAAAGTGACTGCATGCTATGGTGAGCAACATGGAATTTATGATGTAGATACAATTGGAAAGCAATTTTTAAACCCAATGTTGAGTTTACTAACTCACAAGGAAGAAAATCAGACTTCAGCTAGGTATCAAGACAGTTATGCACTAATATAAAGGTGACATTTCTGTATACTGTGCATTTATTTATTACCAATGGTGTGATTTGTTTGCTTTTGTACATGTATGTCACTGTATACATCCTTTGTGGTTTCTATATGGATGAAAATAAAACGTGACAGGATGTCTTAAAGTTAAGAAAAATAAATATAATAATAAAATAAAGTAAAAATTAGGTAAAAATAAATATTTACAGGTTTGCTGCTCAATGTGACGGTGCAGTCCTGGGTTTTTAGGCCTTTGGTCTTTACACTGGCAAAAGCCACCAAAACATTAGAGAACAAAGCTGAGAAGCTGACTTCCACTTCCACTCCGCAATGAAACGTCAGCCGCTTCTTCCGTGGTAGCTCTGAAAGAAGATATGAAAAAGTTTTGGGTTTTTTTTTTTTTTTTTTAGAAAGAAATGCAACTAAAACCAGCTACTAAACTGTTTTACTACTTTACTTGACTGTAATTTTGTTCAATTACTGTGACACAGCAGCTGATTTTGCAGAGCCAGATTGAAGACATTAGGGACTTTTCAGTCGCTCTGTTGATTTAAGACCTTAATCTTGAACCTAATCTAAAAGAGACTGAGTAGATTCTCAGATTAACTCACCATCTCAAGATTCCATTTTTAAAAAGGTTAAGTAAATTTGAGGAAGTTATAAAATGTTAAAAAAGCGACTTCCTTCCATCAAACAGGAAAATACACTCGGTAAAATGAACCATTTCCCTGTTTTGATTTATTAAAACATTTTTTGAATGGTGCTGAAAATATCGCATTAAACCACAATGCCTGAACTTGGTTTGTCACATTTTGTAGTGTGGGAAGTGTGAGGAAGAGTTGAGAGAACAAATTCTCTCTCACACTCAATAGGGACAATAGCTCAACAAATGGAACAGTGGTTTCCTTAATGGAAAATGAACTATATTTGGAATGTGGACATTTATTAACATATCCTGTCTAAAATGCAATCTGACCTGGAAAATAATTAACAGGGGAAAAGACATGATGCTGTGGGGAAATTTCTTCTACTAAATCTACTTACCATTTGCTTGCCTCCAGCAGGCATCTCGCAAGTGTAGTTCCTTTGTGTGGCCGGTGGTCCGAACTGGATCTGCAAGGGATCGAGGTTCCTTCAGGGTGTGTTTGATCTCCACTGCCTGCCTGCCTGTAACTAAAGGGTCTCTGCCTAGATCTGGTGTAGAGAAGGGGAGAAAATGCAGGTAAATATAATGTTTTCAAGACCAGAAAACAAAACTCTACTGCAACTTCACATTCAGATTTTCATTTTTTCTGTCAACTTTTGAGATAATCCATATTTCATTCAATTAACTTCTTCTTTTCAAATATTTCACCAACTACAATAGCACGTACGCTCGCACTCCTTTGATCATGGGACTGCCTGAGTTTTGCAATAGCAGTGAGTGAGGAATGAGTGAGTTTTAGAAAGAGTTCATCAGATTCACATGGCTGGTTTTGAGGAACTTAGGGAAATTTGTTAATATTCACTGTAATTGTCTTGGGCAAATGAGGGGGGCAAACCCCTCTCATTAATCATTAAAAAGGTTAACAGGATGGATTGGCTGGCCAGTACTGACCATGTCAAAAACATTTATATAGGTTTATGCTTGGCTTTTGAGGTGATTTTGTGTCAGCTGTCTTCATTATGCCAGACAAGATGATTGAATATCAGAACCAGAGGCCTGAGAATTTCTAACTTACTACCTACACTGTGGCCCTGGGATTTAAAAAACAAAACCTGTTTCAAAATTTTCATAACCAATGGTGCATTTGTTCACGTAAATATGTCTACATACACACACACACGCACGCACAGTGCTTGCAGCAGGGCTTCCTGTCCTGCTAGCACTGATTCGTGAGTGAACCCATGAGAGAAGTCGCAGTGGGTGCCCAAACGGCAGAGCAGCTGTCTTGCACTCTGCAGCTCTCAGGTTTCTTGCTGTTCTCTGGCCAACAGTGTGAATTTCCAGAGAATGAGGTCACATGCTAATCGCACCTCGAAAAACTTTTTCACCAGAGACCCATTAAACAGACAAAACACGACGGGACCACTTGATAACTCCTCACTCTCAGTCACAGCTTTACTTAGTCCTGAGTAAACAACACTAAAAAAGAGTGGCCAACAAATTATAAAACTTGTTTGTGGTCCACCCAGCACACCAAAGAACAACCTGTTCCCTTCAGATCTGTTTACCATTGATCTGCAAGAACTGTCAGCCTACTGAGTTATATAATATTATATAATTCATAAACTGAATGGCTAAATGCAAAAATACAAGCTGAAAAGGTTTTGTACTTTTTGTGGAGGGTGGGGGGGGCGAGTTTATGTGAAGTAGATGTAGACTTTAATCTCAAACACTAATGATTTAGTGTCAGTTATAAATTTGTTCAGTTGAAATAACTATATTCCCCTTTGTTGTACATGTGTCCACTCACCTACTAAAAAATACACAGCATGGTCACAAAAACTACACCTATTCCTTATTACAACGTCATTCCTTAATTCTCAGATTGATATATTTTAGATTTATTCAAAAACAAAAAACAAAGCAAAAAATTCTTACCCTCAGACACCTTCTCTAAGACATGTGTGACCTTCTCGCACTGAAGGATGTGCTTGTTCAAGTACTTGGTGAAGATTCCTGTACTTTTCCCTCCGTCCTGCACCTCAAAAGCCTCAGCATCTTCACATCTGCAGGAATTAATGAAGGAAATGTAATACAAACAAAGATACTAAAAGATTTTTTAATATACATAATGTTCCATTCTACCGCATGTTGACTAATTGAAAAAACATATTCTCATTGCACTTGCACTGTTAAATCACTGAGTTGGCTTGAGTATCAGTTTCCGTATTTGTGAATAAATATTTGCAAAACATCTAATAAAAAGTACATACGTGGCATAACCATAAACCGTATTCCCACTAGGTTTCAGTGGCGTGATGGCAGAAGGTATGCAATCCTGGTTGTACCTTTAGAAAGTAAAATGCAGTTTTTAGAAGAATGAAGCAGTCAAAACAAATCCTTCTAACTCGTGCGTTATGACAAAATCCACTAATATATTCAGTATGTAATAGTTTACATTTGCATAATTAAGTATGTATATTCATCATAAATGTGAAAATCCATGTGTCACTGTCATCTCTTAGTGAAAAACGGAAATTCATTATGGCACCTACCATTTTCTACAGGTATCCAGTAGGATTACACTCAGTGCAGTCCGTCTTTGCTGCATACTATGCATGACCCTCTGCACACAGACGCAGTTTTCAGGTTGGTATGGTTGTGGAGCATCAATAGCTACCAAGTAATTCCTCCCAGCGCACTCATACCCATGACCCGCATAGTAGAAAAGACCTGTCAAGAGTGATAAAATACACATCTAGTTACCGCTGCAAAAGAATAAGAATTGTAATCATCACATTTTACACTGCACACACTGCAATCCCAGGAAAAATAAAATGTAATGTTTGGAGCAGCTGAGAGAAAGGTCACACTGGGGATCAAAACATGCCTGATTTCTATACAGCATGTTTAAAATCACACCAATTTCCCATCTTTGTTTTGTTATTAGCAAGAGAAAGTAGAGAATAGCAAGAGAAGGTATCGTTCTGATTCATGACAGTTACCTTGTATTAATATTATCTACATAATATCATATTACAGTTGTATGATGGAAGTGTGTATTTGTGTACCTGTGTGCTGTTTAATAATGAAGAGTGACAGAAGTTTAGTTGACCGTTTGCCTAATAGAGAATTACCCTTTATAAATACAACATAAACATCCTATGTTAGTGTTACATATATTCAGGAAGTTCCATATATAGCTTGTGAACACTGAAAACGCCTACGCTTCTTTTTACCCCTTATCTTCCATCTCAGCCAGACACACGTAGGCCTATAAGCAAGATACTACAAACCGCTCATGGGTTCGTGACTCATGACAAGTGGACAGCAATAGATAAAGGCACATGACACAGCAAAGAAAGTTACAGTGCTCTATTTCAAATCCCAGGAAAAATTACTACGTCACAGTTTCTCCAAGCACAAAAGCTGAATTCATGAATCAACTAACAAATGTAACTAATTAAAAAAATTTATATATTCATAGAGGCTAACTTTACTTACCATAAACTCCTCTGTCAAGAAGCTGAATGAACTTTTCAATAGCGGCCAGCATCTCCTCCCTGGTGAGATCCAGCAGGGAAACCACTCTGAAGCCGAGCTGCTGCAGGAGGTTGGCTAGCTCATGCACATCCATAATGGGGGCCATCAAGCCGGGGTGGTTGGAGTAATTCAGGTTTCCAATAAGTAGGGCAACTTTATCTGTGGCTAAAAGATCAGAGTCAAAATTATAGCAGCAGGAGGAAATTCTGATACATACCACAACAGTTTTCCTCTGTAGCATATTAAAAATAGCACGACTTGATTCTTTCCATAACACCGTACCTGTGGGTGCTGCTGGAGGAAGCTGATCAGTTTGCACTAGATATAAAAAAAGAGAAGCGCAAACATTAGCATTTTTTGAACATAAATCTTATATAAAGTACTAGTACTGATACTTTCCGGAGGGCATGTATAGGGCAACGCAATTTAGCAATATGACAACTATTTTTCATGATATGCACTGTACAGACAAGTTACAACAGGAGAAACACTGTAAGAACTGGTTTCACTTTACATCACTTTCCTGTTGTGTGTCGATGCCTCGGACCAAACACTATTTGGAGTCTAACAACTTCCTTTTTACTCTGTAGAAATGGGAAAGTACCTCCAGCATAATGGAAACAACTAAAAGCCTCACTGCTAAATCAGTGGAATGAGAGAAGTGTGCTTTTCTCCACACCTCTTTCAGTGGAAATGGAGGAAGTAAAGTCTGAGGAAAATACAACACTAAAAGTGGAAAAGACCAGACTTACAGAGTCAGTAAAAGTACTTTCATGGATGACTTACCAATGTCAACATCAACTGGTTCTGTCCATCTCTCTTCTAGCACGTTAGATATTGAGCACAGGTATGATCCTCCATGTTCAGCTGTTGCACGGTCAATCTGCACATATCCCAGTAAATCATATTGTTTTCCTTTGTACTTATTGCTCAACCACAAATCAATCCTTTGGCAGAACATTCACCAAACTTTCTAAATGAATTACATCAGTGAAACAGTAAATATAGCACAGTGTAAACAATCACTAACAGCGCTGAGATTAAGTAACCGCTCACTTGTCATCCTTCCTTACCTGCAGCGTGTCACCAGTCATGTCTAGCAGGGGCTGTCCATTCCTGTACCACTGATAGTATGGAGTGGGTATGCCAAAGGCAAGGCAACGGAGAGTGAGTTTTGTACCTTGTCGAACTGTCTGGGGTTTAGGGTTGACAGCAATGTGTGGCTCACCCTGCCAGTGTACTGGTAAACCTGATGTGTGAAAAGACACAGGCAGTGATTCAAACCCACAGCAATAAACTATCAATATGCGTAACAATAATTTCACCCGCTGACACGCCAGGACTATGCTGCAAATGTGCAATAAAAATGACGCAGGCACCGTACTACTACACTATAAATCAACACGAGAATGACACAATGCATACCTGATTTATCTATGTCTAACATCTTCACTTTCACCCAGTCGCTGAACACACAGTTACAAAAGTGGTCATTCACTCGGCAGACATAGAGCTGTGTTTTTCTGGCTGTGACGGTCAGGTCTGCTTGAGTACCATCGCACACCTTGGGGGGAAAAAAAGCAAAACAAAATAATAATTATCACTAAGTCCTATCCTATAATATTTTACTCATTTCCATTGTCATTCTAAGCAGTAGGATAATTCTTTATTTAAACAGGTGTTTAATTGAGATGAAGATCTGTTTCTCAAGAGAGATCTGTGCACCACTGTAAACATACAGTACAGGCACAGATAAACACAATTCTCACAGTAGACAACACAGTAAAAAAGTGCCGTTTAAAATGCTTGAGAATGTCGATGCTGAATGAGAATGCTTTTTATAAATGCAAAATCCACATACCTCCTTTTCATCATCAGTGAACCACTGGTAGTTGAGGATGCCTGTGCCCTCAGCTCGTACACTCAGAGTCACTTTGTGGTTCACAGGTACACACACAGAGACAGGATGGCGCACTATGAAAATTTCTGAAACAAATCAAATAAGAGTTTCAAGTCATCTGAAATCACACTGTGTCACCTCTGTCTCACACTATGCTGAGACTGTCGCGCTCTCGAGAAATAACATACCTCTGATCATTATTCGACAGGGATTGGGACGGGATCCAGTCATCAGTGCATTTTCCTCTTATTTCGCTGGACTGTAAGAAGTTGGTTTCAAATAAGTATTTTTGAATCACTCATTAAAAACCGCAGCAAATCTAAAGGAAATAAAAAGTACAAAAAAAATATGGAACGAATAACAAGATTTCGCTTTAGATATGAAATTGCTGTAAATACAGCCTCAGACTTCTCGTTTCTAGTGAAATCAGCTTTAACCGCACTGTACAATACTGTAGATACTGTTAGAAATATCCTAATTTCGACAGGAAAATCATCAGTGATCAATAAGCACGTCAGCACTCATGTATTAGTGTATGGGCTACCTGCCGTCAGTCTCCTACCAATCGAGCATCTGTCGGACCTCAGCCAGAAAATGTTTTCCTTGTCTTTCACTTCACTTAAATCGTATTGTGTAAAACTCCCCTTTCCCGGAACGAGACAACGCAAACACGCATTACCGTGAGGTCTGTAATACGTGAGCAGCTCATAGAACATAACGCGTCTCTCTCCTGCGATACACTGAAAAAAAAAGTCATAAATATTTCACTTCTAAAATCAAAATGTGATTTGAAAAAACACGTCCAAACAGACGAACTCTGCGCCGGTTAGATGGATCTAAATCTAGAAAGGGAGATTCTCTTTTGCCTCTTTTCCTGACATTATGGTAATGAGCAAATCTTACCCCTTGTCAATAGTGGTGGTACAATCACAGACTGAGGTTGAGGTTGAGGTTGGAGGGTGATAAAGACGTGAAAAATAAAATGTGCCTTTAAAACTGGACATTTTAATTTATTTTCTTTGCACCAGACAGTTTTGACTCAATATTGATAATATTAGTATGACCTTTTCCCAGATTACAAAAAAGGGCAACTCCAAAGGCAGTGGAGTAATGTGCCTTCTAATGATATACTTAAGAAATAAGACTGGTTAGTTTATCTACACAGAAAACAAATTTTCAAGCTCAAGTTCCCAATCTTCATAGCACATAACCTTTGTACTTTATATTTACATCCAAACTACAATGTGTATAAAATGTGGAGCATATTCTTAAAATATCTGATTCAGTTTATGATCTCTTATTGACCATTTATTAATGCATTTGAATAAAATGTATAAAATAGCCTATATTCAAATTATATTTTTATTAATCCTTTATTTGTACTGTTTTTGTCAGTTTTTTGTATAGGCCTACAAGTTTTATTTTTGATGAAAAAATGATTAATTAATTGATTAAAAATTATTTAAGGTATTTGATGGATTTGAGGATGTGTTTTTTTGCTTATGTTTGCTACAAAGCTACATTTTATTTTTTATTTCATTGAACCTTTATTTAAATATTATATAATTATAATTTAAATACAATTATAAAATCATGAATACATTTTTTACACAATTGTAAATAATTGTAAGTAAAATGCAGTTTTATAAAAGATTTCATCCTAGAAATACACTAAATATCACTGTAAAACAACTCAAAAACTATCTAAAACCATAAAAATAGATAAGGCCAATCTTAAACAATAACATAAATAATACACTGATATTCAAAAATACCCTTACGCCATTAAATCAAAGTATAGATTTGGTCAGACAAGCCTGTTTTTTTCTAATTAATGTAAATGTGAACAGCAAAACATAGGGCCCCCAATATTTTGACCATGTGTTGCAATAGGAAGTGGGGGGAGATGTGTTTTAGCAACCCTTGAGCAAAGCATAGGACACAAACCACTGGCCGTCATCAGCCACGTCATGAATCATATTCTACAGACATGTTTTGCAAGTCAACATCCACTCCACTTCAGTGTCTCACTAAGATGGGACGGTCTTTATCCAACTTATTAAGATGGATCAAAACAAAGTCCAGTATGAGCACTGATGATTTTTAGGAATATGTTCTGGTTGAAATTGTTAGCTTTTATACTTAATTCAGTTTATTTTTTAGACTACTTTGCTAAGTCTAAAGTCTAGTTTGAGAAAATCTGATGTGCTCTTGCACCTATTTGTAGGCCTGCTATAAATAGGCCCCTGCTGGCAACACATGCATGTCTATGATAGGCAGTTACAGAGATATTCTTTACCAACTCTGGCTCCAAAGCAACACTGACAACATCTCAATGGTAAGTTGGAAAATTTACCAAGTTTTAATCTGACCAAGACACACTTAAATTATTTTCCTAACATATACAAATAAATAGCATGTTTTGGGGTTGTGTTTGACCACTAACAGCCCTTCCACAACCTGATAGCTGATCTATTTATAACTTGCTCCAACGCAAGTACTTTGCTTGGACAGAAAGGACAAGCACTGGGTCTGAATTGTGTGTGAGTTTTCTTTGAGCAAATATCGCAGAGAGTATCTAATACTGTCTTCCATCAATTTCCAACAGGTTTTGTTACCACTCTGAACTGCTTCTTTTTTTTTCTCTCCAGGGGTTTTTACATGGATAACACCATTAAGTTTGAGCCTTGAACTTTGACAAGCTTTGGACGTGAACACGGAGCAGTATTACACTGTGGGTTGAAACATTTATCTTGGATCTTACTTACTTTGTGAATTGCTTCAGTGGACAATGACTTCCAGAAGGCCAATGACACGCTCTTTTTCTGGCAATGGGAGGACAAGCAGCTTCAGTGAAGAGGAGGGCAGCTCTTCCAATGGCCGCAATACTTACCTTTCGAATGTTAGGCCTGAAAACAGGTAGACAGCCTCATATATAATCCATGTGTATGCAGATCATGTAAATCTTTGTTTTCTTGTGAAGCAGATTTGTATAACAGATTATGGTGGTCAAGAAAAAGCATCTGGGTCAGACAGATCAAGTAAAGAGGGAGTAATTGATGAAGCGAGTCACACCATTGACTTTTTTTTTACCATGTTCAGCACATTGTGGGTCAATCTACAAACCATGAGAATAATAATAAACTCCTTTTCACAAAGAGGAGGGCAGTTATGAAATCATTTTATTTAGGTGGCTTCCATATACGCAGATCTTATTAAATCATTGACGTCCCTTCATTTGCCTCTTCTCTGAATAGCTCAAGGTATTCTCACTACAGGCCAACGAGGTAATCCATGCTTTTAAAACATTCCTCCCAACTAACATCTTAACCACAAACACTGGTTAATCCCAAGAATGAAACCTACACACGTTTTAACAGTAATGTAAGTGTCCGGTTTGTCCAGTGTTGCGTTCAGTTTTAGTGATGAACAGTTTCAGTTTCAGTGTTGGATTGACAGCTTTGTTTTGCTTGATGTCTCACAAGTCTCTGTGTCAACGCTTTCATACTTTATTCACTACCAGAAAATTTCCATTAACATCTTTTCCTGAGTAAAAGGAATTTACTGCACTGAGATGTCACTGAAGTGTGAAACAAGACATTTACATTAATACATTGGTGTTTCCTTCCAGGAGCACATTGTGCAGCGTCATGGCTCAGCTCACTGAGGACATACAGCCGTCCTTTGAGACCACCTTGAAATCAAAGGCAGTCTCAGAAAACTGTAACGTGAAGTTCACCTGTGTGGTGTCAGGTAGGCCAATAGTGTACTTGGCATGCCTCTGTTTGTTGTTTTTCAGATTAAGTGAATAGTTTTGAATTGTTAGAGGTGTGAAGAGACAGGATGTGACTAATCTGGAAACAAATGAACATAACATGAGAATTCATTCGCACATTTATTCATCCTCAATTGCTCCTTAAAGACAACAGACAACAGAATACTCAAGCTGGTTTTTCAAGCTGTTGTCTGCAGGCAGATTGAATGGGTGGGCCCATCCAACAGCAGCAGCTGTTCCTATCTGACGCATCACAAACGTGATGCAACAGCCTAAGACACAATCATGCCAAAGCCTCTATACTGTGTTTTGTTTACTGTATAATTTTCTAATTACTTATTCACATAAGAGGATATTTAGCATAAACTGTCTCATGTTTGTAAGAAGTATACATAAATAGCACTTTTTGGCATGAGGAATGTGATGTTTATTACCCAGAGGCAATGAATTCCTTATAGTCGCTCTGTGTCTGTAGGTTACCCAGCTCCAGAACTGAAATGGTATAAAGATGATATGGAAATGGATCGGTACTGTGGACTTCCAAAATATGAAATTGGCCGGAATGGAAAAACCCACACCCTCCATATATACAAGTATGTAAGACAACCTTGCAAGATTAATCTATCTATTACCCTGTTTAAACTAGTAGCAATGCAGCAGTTTGTTTTAGGCTGCTTGTTTTATCACTGAGTACCTATAATGTAAAAATTTTCTGTTTTCAGCTGTACATTGGACGATGCAGCCATCTATCAGGCCTCAGCTAGTAATAGTAAAGGCATTGTCTCCTGCTCGGGAGTTTTGGAGGTTGGCACTATGAATGAGTACAAGATCCACCAGCGGTTTTTTGCCAAGCTGAAGCAGAAAGCAGAGAAGAAGAAGAAAGACTTGGAGGAGCAGACTAAGAAGCAAGATAAAACAAACACTCAGAGAGAGAAACCACAGAAAACCCCAGAACGTCCTCCAAGGAAGCGGCCTATTCTACCACCAAAGGAGAAGCCAGTGGTCAAGGAGCCCGAGGTTGGGGAACAAGTGGGAGCTGCTGCAGAACCTAATGGAGTTAGCTCGGAAGTCATGGAAACAGAAACTATCTCATCCACAAACAGCAGCCCGGAGAAGGAGGTACCTCCATCTGGGGAAACCTTGGCTAAAAAGAAAATAAAGATCTCAAATGGTGTAGATGTTGGGGTCTCCAACAGCAGTAGCAGCAGCAGTAGCAGTGGCAGAAGCCATATGATGGGAAATGGAGGTGAAAACTGTTACGATGGAGGAATCAGTTTGGCACAGTTTCTTGCAGAGACTCTCCAGTCTCAGTCTGCTGAGGAGAAACAGAACTCATCTCGAGTGGAGAAACCTAAAGAGATGAATGTACCTGTTGTAAATGACAGTAAAGAGACAGAGGGGATGCAGAAAGAGAGGGAAGAACAAGAAAAAGCAACAGAGGAAGAGTATGAGAGAGAGAAAAGGAGTGACGAGGACTTGGTCATAGAAAAAGAGATAGAAAGAGAACGGCTCTCTGAGATGTGGCATACAACAGACCACAGTAAACATGGCTCAGAGGTCAAACATCACAGCAGGGCTCATAAGGATCACGACCACCATAACATCCAGGCTTCCATCTCCTCTATGCTCCACACAGTCAAAGACTTCTTCTTTGGTAAGAGTAAGAAGGGCTTTCATGATCACATTGAGGACAGGGAGAGAGAGTTTGACCACTACTCAATTCAGCCTCCTCAACCGGAAACGCCGCCGTCATTTCGACTGCAACAGGAGTGTAATCCAGATGTGTACAAGCCTCTAACAGAGGATGTTGTGCCTATGGAAACAGATAAACCAAATGAGTCTTCAGGAAGTGTGTACATGGAACAGCCGTCAGTGTCATTGGAGACACATGAACATAAGCATGAAGACAGTGTTCTACACACAGACCTGACACCAGCTGATAAATTGCCACCAAAGAGCACAGAAGAGTCCACAAGGCAGAGTGTCAAGGAGGTGGAGGATGCTGCGGAGGCCATGGAGGTGTCTGTGGGGACAGGGAGCAGCAGTCCAGGCGAAGAAATACCATTGTCCGGGCTTCAAGTTCTCACTGAGGTACGTACAGTGGTGTTGCAGGTCAGCTGGCTGCCACTTGATAGTTATATATAGACTGCATTTGTGTGACAAGATGAGCTACTTAACCGCCAAGGCTTGAGCTTGTCATCTATGATATAGATTAGGCTTTGAGATGCTTCTGATTGTTAATGTGGTATATAAAAAGCAGGCGACGATTCGTCGTAAGATGTTATATACATGGGACAGTCAGACAATACAACCACTTTAAAACATACAGTATAATATCAGTGATCAGCCACTGTTGGAGTGAGTCACCCTGGCCATGTGAGGCTGAGGTTTTATTGCACCAGTAAAAAAAAAAAAAAAAAAAAAAAAAAAAAACACGTCCAGCCCAACAAGCCAAAAAAATAGTGTGGGAAACGTAGGGAAGCATAACAACAGGGCAACTTGCACTACATGTATGTGGGGGTGGGGGTTGTTGTGTGTCTACACTGCAAACTGAGATAGGATGGGGAGTATCTCAGATGTTTGGCTGCGCTGAGTGAGACACTAGTGCGTCAGAGATCATGATGAAACCTGAATGTCAGAAGTGGTTCTCATGTTACAAACAGGGCTCTGCATGACAGTGGGCTGTGTGGTCTGGATGAACGGTAGTAGAGTGAGTGCTGCGGCAGGTCTCAGCATGAAAGGAGGGCCTCGTCACATTGGACACATTCCTTACTGAACCCCAACCACCCCCACCCGGCCCATACCTTAAAATAAACCTCTTCCTCATCTAGAGAAGTGGGAGTAAGGCAGCACTTCTGTGTCCAGCTCGTCAAATTGTTTCATGTCGGTCGTGTGTGGAGGATTAGGGTTATCGTGATATGATAAATGCACTGTACAGTAAATGCCCATACAGTAAGAACGTGTATAGTGATACTTGGTGAATTTTTGCTGTATTTGTGGTTGCACTGATTTAGTCCAATTTGATCATGTGACTCTTGGCTTTTTAAGAGATACAACATTTACACAGAAAACCATAAAATCTTAGACTTTACCTGAAACTCATTTGACTCCTTTGTTTCCGGAGTGACAGTCGTTAAATATTATATATTATATATCTGATCATCAATCACTTATTAAAATCCAAATGTATCGTGACTCTATGAATTGCTTTGTTCAGTGAATTATAGCTACATTTAGCATTAACATCCAGTTACATGGTGCAAAATGACATGTGGAAAAGGGAAGTGAAGTCACTGTGTTTAAACTTGATCCACCTGCAGGGCAACTGTGTGTCCTTAAAGTGGAACTACAACTGTACCTTTGTTATGCTGGTGGTAAAACGTGAGACTTTATGGATGACTAAATAGAAGAAGTCAAACCATTTATATGAACAATGTTTTCTCACGCTTGTGACATCTATTTACACACAAGCGTGCAGTGATGACCAGAGCTTCATTTTTAGACTGAATGTGACACCAGTTCCTTTCCATTGAAAGCAACAACTTCTTTTTTTCTTAGTAGTCACTGCTAGCCAAACATGTTGTCACGAGGCGGCACGTGGCTTCATTGCGCTTCTGCATAAATGTTAATGGTGTAAACCACAAACGCAGGGGCAGTAAGGGGAAAAACCATACACTTGCATTTATAGTTCAAAGCTTTACCTATAAATGGTCCCTTCAGCACTATGCATACTGAAATTTCAGTTCATAATTTCGCAATTTCACATCAAAGTCAGGTAACGTTCTCCTTCGTCAATCACAGTTTAGTGTTGTCAGTAGCTTGATGATTAATGCAAAATGCTCACAACAGATTTGTGTGAAACATAGATGTTATGACTGGACTTCTTACTGTGAGACTGCCCAGCAAGTTCAGTGTGTAAACAGCATACCCGTGTCAAATGTGGGAATTCCCCTGTCCATGTTTCAACACAAGACACAGAGTACACAAGCAAAATCCAAATTAAACACTGTGGTAGTTTGTTTTTGACATAAATGTTAAGTGAAGTAGTTCAGTAGTTCAGTTACGACTTAATTTGGAAAAACAAAACTAAAAAAGATAAACCCTGTTTGTTTAACAGACATACATTTTATTGGACCCTTGCATGTGTAAACACTTGGTTTCAGCCACGTGACATGAGGTAAAGAAGTTCCTGAAATAAGCTGACAGGTCATAAAACACAAGAATATACTGACTTGCTGTAGCTGTTCCACACATTTTCTTTTTAACTATTTACTGTTAACCTATTAACTAATAATTGATTAATGCTGGTTACAGACTGACTTTAGCGTTCTTCCTGTCTATTGGGGATATAACATTGCATTGTTATATTAAGTGTGTCAGAATCTGTCTTTGTCACTGTTTGTGACAACTAATAATTGATTTATGGTGTAGCAGTATCACACTCTCAAAGGTCACTGCAGTACGTTTGCCATAACAAGCTTCTTAAAATACTTTTTAACACCTGAATGTGACACTGAATTTTTTTTTTTTCCATTAAGTTGTACAGTCTCTTTGCCAACAACACATCAAACTGGCAACAATATTTTGCATGCATAAGAAGTAAAACTAACGATTGTGTTTCATGGGATTCATTTTGAAAGATAAACAATGCTATAGCTGCAACTGCAGGTTTTGAAGTACCAATGTTTTTTTTTTGTTTACTTTCCTTCAGACGGAAGACAAAGATTCTCAAGTAGTCTCAGTTATCAGCAAGGTTCCTGTAAACCAGCAAGAGCCAGATTGCCTGGTAGTTTCACCACGGCCTGATCACCAGGCTGCAAGAGATGCCTCCTCACCCAGGGAAGATATATCTGTCTTACCACTGACCAAAACCCCTTCTGAAGAAGGAGAAGAGCAGCTGAGTATTGATAAGATGGGCGAAGAAGGTAAACCTGACACAGTGGAAGGGCTTTCTTTCAATAAGTTGTGTGAGGAGGAGAAAGCTGAAGTGAAATCAAGCAAACAGCCGTGCTCAGATATAAACAGATCTGAGAACACTGAATTAACAACACCTTCACTGGAAGAAAGAATAGAACCATGTGAGTCTAAAACACCAGATCAGGTGCTTTCTCCTCTGCCTGCTGTGGTAGCAGACACTGCAGAGAAAGATTATGTAAAAGAAGAGGCCAAATGTACTTCACTGGTTCAGGAAATGAATGTAGGATTTCCGCCTAGTGAAGCCCCAGATAGTTTAGAGAACGTTGACCTAAAAATACAGCCTGAATGCCCTCCTTCTACCGCAGAGGAAAGTGCAGATGTCCACAATCTCAGTGCAATACCGAGTTCAAGTTCAGGTTTTACAAGCGGTGAAGAGAAAAGTGACTTGAAAGATGTAGTGAATTCTGTTTTGGAGGAAGGCGTAGAAGTTAACTTGTGTAACGATCTAAACACACAAGAGCAGGCAACTTTAGAAGGTGAGAACACAGAAACAAGGAATGAGTGTTTACAGTCTGATGTGGAGACAGAGAAGAGAGTAGAGGAGTCGGATGAATCAAAAATAGTTTCAGTAACACAAAACGAGGGAAGCAGTGCTAATGTTTTGGAGGAACATAATGAAATTGCACAGCCTGACGGTGGTGAGACACAGCTGGGTTGGCCCTCAGAGAATATTCCACAAATCCAAATATCTGTTATTGAAGACACACCAGGTATTAAACCAACTGTGCCAGATGTAAACCAAAATGAACATTTTGTAATCCCAAAAATTGAAATAATGGAGCCTGAGCTCAAAGAGTGCACTCAGCCACTAACTGTTGTGGCACTCAGTGAGCCAGAATCAGAGCCTGCTCTTTTACAAAAACATGATGCAACTTATGTGTCAGAGATAATTGTCCAAGACCAGAGCATGACTGATTCTCCACACTCACTGCCCACAGAGAAAGGTATGCAAAATGATTATAACCTCTCCCTGGCACAGAAAGTAAAGGAAGTTGCACAATTAGATGACGAGACAGAAATGCTTGAGCAGGAGCAGCCACGCGTGAAGAGCAGTGAACAGCTCCCTCAGATGGACTATGCATCAATTCCTGTTATAAATGTTTCATGTACTGATGACAAGGAGAAGGATGCATTTGTAAATGCCCATGTTTCACATACACTGCAGCCTTTTGAAACTCCAACGGTGCCTTTGTTTGTGGTGCCACCAATCTCTGTAACTTGTCATGAAAGTGATCCTGGACTAAGACTGCACACACACAGTGAGTGGACAGAGACAGAAACTTCAGCTACCACTCAAAGGGGAACAAAGCATGATGTTGATATTCCTATGACAGCGAAACCTGAAAAAGCAGAGAGTAGAAAACAGAACCTTGAAGAAGTGTCAGACAAGAGTGTAAAAGAGAGCACTCCCTCTTTGCTATTGGAAGCTCCACTACCAAAGGTCGGTGACAATGTGGTGTCAATCAATAAAACAGCGGAAGACAACATTGTTCCTGAAAAGAAAAATAAGATAAAACCTCTTAAAGAGGCCAAGATAGAGAATTCTGTGTCTGTTGAGGACCCCCAGAAAAACAGATGCACTGTTGAGCGACTCAGCTGTAAACCCCCGGCACATCCATCACTGAGTCCAGCCAGTCTTCGCAAATTCATGCCCAAGGCTGCTCCAGACTCAGACAGTGAGGCTGTGACGGCTGTCCCTGTGATCACTGTGGGTGATCGTCAGAGTGACAAGGCAGATGAAGATCTCAGCGGAGGCTCAACACCAACATCATCCCTCTCCTGTGAAAGCAGTCCCCGGCTGAAACGCAGAGACAGCCTGTCGCTCATACGCTCCGCCACACCTGAGGAGCTAGCCTCCGGAGCTCGCCGTAAAATCTTCATCCCAAAAGCTAAAGACGATGGAGAGGGAGCAGTGTTTGGTGTGCTCGACACTCAAGGCAAGAAGGAGACTCCCTACATGTCCCCCAGCCAGGCTCGCAGAGCAGCATTACTACAAGCTTCCACGGGACAAAACACCCCACCAATGGAGAGGCGTTCTCCACTACTGAGCCGCAGAAAGGCCACCTTGGAGGTGCCAAAAGTGGTGGAGGAGACTCCAAAAGACGAGCCAGTCACCAAGAAAGAGGAGAAACCAGCTGAAAAGAAGCTAGATCCTTTGAAAGGTAAAAGTCCCAAAAGATGGATTTTTTTTTTATCTTGTTAAGATATGTTGTGTGAACAAGAGGGAGGTGAAAGTTCTGGATGTTTTCCAATAAGATCTGTATCAACTTGTTTGAACCATGTAGTACGCTGTTATGTAAAGACTTACTTAACTAATTAATATAAAACAAAAAATATAAATGCAATATGGATAAATACTCAGGCTCTTTTAAGTGATTAGCTGTTAAATGACAGTCTACAATGTAACATATTTGACTTGTTCAACTTTTTTTCGCCTAGTTTTCACAAAATATATCACAATACAAATGGTCCTATGAGATTCCGTCCATATTTTTTTAAGTTTGTCAACATGATCATCTGATCAGTACACTGGCACTTGAGGAAGTGGAAACATTAGAAAGTCTCTACTCTCGAGTGCAGTATTTCATTACCTCGGGCCCCTTGTTGGGTACTCCCTCTCTCTCATGCGCCACCAGCTCCACAGGTCATCCGTAAGATCAGGGGAGAGCCGTTCCCAGATGCCTCGGGACACCTGAAGCTGTGGTGCCAGTTCTTCAATGTGCTCAGTGACTCCACCATTAAATGGTACAGAGACGAGGAGGAAATACTAGAGGTGAAGAGAAGGTAAATCCTCTTCTTGTGCCACACTAACCACCTGTAAAACTAATCAACGGCAATATCACAGCGTTGTTATAGTTATTATTATCTTAATAATATCACCTTTTTCACAGCTGTTATTCTGAGGATTTCCAGCCAACACGACTGGTAAAACTGGGCAGGTTCTAAAAGTGAAACAATAATGCCACAATGATGAAAAGGATTTTTTTGGGGGTCTCAGAGTGCATCCCATGGCCATCTGTCATTCTCATATTCTCACTGCAGAGACATCCAGCACATGTGACTGTGAACCCCACAGCTGTGACACAGAGAGGTGAATCTCTGGCTAGACACCGAAACTGTAACTTGACACGATATTTTTCCCATCTCCAGGGGGCATTAAAAGTCTATATATGTGCTATTGGTTGCTGTGTCAGCAGACTGCGACCACACATCATAATCATTTGTCTCACAGTGACACCGTGTGGACTGTTGTTGAGTCTTTGAAGTTAGGTGTTTACAAATGTGACGAGCCAGTTAACTCAACTTGACGTGTTCGTGTTTTTCCCCTTTTTGTCCTCAAGTGGAGGTGATGAAAGCCAAGTGGCCTTGGCTATTGTGCTGGCATCCAGCCAAGACTGTGGGGTATATGGCTGTACGATCAAGAATGAATACGGGAGCGATACCACTGACTTCCTGCTCAGTGTAGACAGTAAGACACAGAATTCTTGGAGAAATCAAGTTTGGATTCTAAATCGAACAATAACAGTCATGCTTTCCTGAGTCTTTGTGTTTTTTCCGTCTTACAGTTCTGTCTGAGATACTACTAAGAGATGATTTGGAAGGTAAATTTCTCTGTTAGTAATGTACTGCAGGTATATATTACATATATATTAAAAAAAATTTTATAAATCCTTGCTCATTGTAAATATATATTTCTGTTTTTCTTTAGTCGGAGAGGAGATCGAGATGACCCCAATGCTGTTCAACAAAGGCCTGGCTGACTGTGGAAACTGGGGTGAAAAGTTCTTTGGCCGCATCATGACTGAGACAGTGAACATCGGGGAGGGCTGCGCTCACAAAGCCAGCAAAGTGAAGGTTATTTATGGCTTGGATCCTGTCTTTGATTCTGGAAGCAACTGCATCATTAAAGTTCAAAACCCCATCGCCTACGGGACCAAACAAGAGAGCAACCTTACAGAAAGGAATCTAGAGATTTCTAAGCAAGTGAGTAATGGATTTATTTCCTGATCTCTATCTCTATTGCTGCCAATAAATTCTCACTGATAATAATTGCAGTACGTGCACCTGATTGAATAAATTCTTTCTGTTGCCAGGAATGCAAAGTCCAAAACATGATTCGAGAATACTGTAAAATCTTTGCAGCTGAAGCAAGAGTTATTGAGAACTTTGGCCATTCTCTAGAGTAAGTACCACACTAATTATACAATAACTTTGATCATTTATGCCTATTAAAATGTATAATACCGCTTGTGATCAACCCACTGTGTTTTTTTGTGTTCCCCCCAGAGTGATTCCTCAGTATCTGATGTACCGGCCTGCAAACTCTGTGCCATATGCTACAGTGGAGGCTGATCTCGCAGGTGTCTTCCTCAAGTATTGTATGATGGATCCTAAAGGCAGGCTGATTACACGAACCACTTCTGAGGTGGAGCAGAAATGTAGCACCTTCCAGCACTGGATCCATCAGTGGACACATGGCAATTTACTCGTCACCCGGCTAGAGGGTAAGCCACACAGACAAGGTGATTAAAAAGAAATCATCTATGAGTGGGAATAAAAATATGAATAATCCTCTTTGATTTGTATTTGCAGGTGTTGAAGCGAAGCTTACTAATGTTAGAGCTGTGACCAAGTCAAAAGGGTTTGTATTTGATACATTCAAATTATTGATATATTCATTACATGCAAATGTTATTGGTCTATGCAATGGGAATAGCTAGAATAAAGCTGTCCTCTGTATTACAGATACCAAGGATTAACTGAGTATGGCTCTCCTGAAGTATTCGAACAGTTCCTGACACAGCATCAGTGCAACTACTACTGTGGACTTCTTGGCCTGCGCCCCCTGAAGTCTATGGATAGTCTGCTGCAGCCTACCAAGATAAAGGGCTCCAGGAGCCCCCTTCTCAACCGCAAGTTGGGCTCTAACAGCCCACAGCTGCAGCGGAAAGGACAGAGCCCTCAATTGTCTAGAAAGGCAAATTCTAGCCCAAGGGTGACAAGAAAAGTTCAGGAGCCAGAGAACAATAAATCAGACACCAAACCCAAGTCTGCAGAAACTGTCAATGCTCTTGAAATGCCGTAGGAAGAAGGCCTTCCTGTTTTAGTGCTTTTAATGGTTAATTATTACCTGTTTCTTTCCAGTTACCAAAGCCAGCAAGGACATGAGGAATAAGAGTAATGAGAAAAAGACTAGTTTTTTGACCTGACTTGTCAAAAAAAAAAAAAATACTGTGAATTTCTCAGTCGCCATCACACCTATCCTACATCCATTTCCCGGCTAGTCAGTTAACTTCTTAATATAGTTAACTAGGTTTATGGTGTGTTTATGTTTGGAGTTGGCTCAAGGTTTTTGACCTTATACAGCAAATTCAGTGTTTTTTACTGTTAGAGAATGAAAAACAACACTGGGCCACATTAGAGTTGACACTATTAACTTCACCTCAGAGTCTTACCAGCTCTATGAATGGATGTCAACATTTTAAGGACTGTTGAGTATGAAATGCGACCACAGCCACAGAGGTGATTGAGGTAATGTATCCTTATTAAACACACATGTTCATCTATGATGTACAGTATGTGTGTAGGGTATAAGTTTATTTTGGAGATGTTATTTGTGGTTAACATTAGAAATGCATATGCAACATTACTTTACACAGCAAAGTCGAGCTGATGCTGTGGAATGACAGCACCAAGATGTTTGTGTGCACTTTGTTTTTGGCATTACTTTTTAGTAGTTATTGAGTACTTGTATCTTTTTATTATAGAGGTCGTCTGTGTCTTTAATCGGTCCTCTGTCAGTATTTCAGAAAATATGCCGGCGAATGCCTCTGTCAAAGCTGTAGGCAATAAGGGTCTTACCATTGAACTCTTAACTATGGCATGCTTATGCTCATTGACATGCGAACACATGAGCCAGCACAGAGGGCTGCTGAATGAGGTCCATACAGTTATTTGGACCTGTACTATGGACTGTGGGATAAAAGCACACTGAACAAAATAAACAAAAGAGCAGAGGACTTAGGACTTTTAGATGCCTATTGATCACTTAGTAAGGCTCCCTGTGTGAAATCTGTGAAGTTTTACAACAACTGAAAATCACCTTTTGCTGAACAATACAGCTGTAAGTTTTTGGTCAACAGAAACCAGACCACAAACACTTTCATGGACTTTGGGATTAGAATAAGAATAAAAACTATTCAGTTATCATGTGGGTTTCCACAGGTATTCATGGTTCAGTTCCAACAGAAACCAGTTCCCTTTTACAAAAAGAGACATCACCTCTTCCCTTTGACAAGAAATCTTCAGGAATTTCTACATAAGTGAAAGTCCTCAAAGAAGTCCGAATAGCCACTGTTAAACTGCTGCTGTTACTTAATTGCATGAAGCCTTATTAATGAAAGAAAACATAATTTCTAGGAGAAATATTTGAAATGGAGTTGAAATATTTGAAAAAGCAAAATAAGTGTGGTGTCATGCAAACAAAGTGTTGCATAGTGTTTATGTGTACATAAAGTCAAAGGACTAAATATCTGAACTAGTGTGAAGAAAAATAGTAAATGTGTGAAGGAGCGTGTGAATGAGTGAGTGAATGAATAAATGTGTGTTTACAATGAATGCTGTCTTTGGTATGTTACACCATGTCAGCTCAAGTTTTTTTTTAAATAAATGTTTAAAACATTTGTGTCCAAGCATGATTCGCATTTTTTTTTTTAATACTTGCCTGCATGTATAATTATCAATAACAAAAATAACTGAGTCACTCAACTTTATTTGAAATATTTACATTGTTTAAACCGTTGATGTCTGAACATTTCCTGAGGTACATTGCTTAAGGTGTGTCCTTTTAATCTTTGGCTTTAAATAAAAACCAATATCTGAATTAATTTACAATATAATACATGAACGATACATTCAGCTTGAAACAATATGCATATAGGCTTTACATTTTTACATTAACTGTGACACAAATATATAAACATGGAGAGACTGCAGTACAAAAACAGACACTGATGTGCATATTTCTCCTCTAATTACAAAGTCCTTCAGAAAGACCGCAACACTGACAACATTTAGAGAAAAACATAGTGGCATTTGCTACGCTGCTCCAAGAGCCTTCAAATGAGATGGTCCCATTGTTTACAGTGCTGCAAAAGAATTAATTTAAACACATTAAAAAACTAATTTATTCCTGTGTGTCACTAATTTTTCGCAGTTAATCAATGTTTTTACTGAAAATGTAAATGCGTACCTTTGAAAGAGGTCCTGACAGCAAGTTTGAACGTTTATATCTGTGGCATTGAAAGCAGACTCTTTGAACAGCCCCACACAGTCCAATTGAGGATCAAAAAGGATTCCTGAGACACAAAGTTAGAGCTACTCGGTTAAACCGCGCTGCAAGATGCTCCTCAGATGCTCCTCAGATGGACTAAAAACAAATGCTTGAGATATAAAAACTCAAAAGCTCTTACCTGCAATGCAAGCGTTGACAAGAGATACACAAGTCCCAGTGATCATAGCTCTAAACACTAGAGACGAGATATCACCTTTTCTTGATGGGCATATAGAGGCTTTGGTAAAAGAAAATACTATGTGTCAAAAAGCATTACTGACACAGTACCATGTAGCAGGACAAACATGTGACAGGATGTTAAAATACTTACATAGGCCACCGATCACAATACCCAGTGAGCTAAAGTTGGCGAACCCACAAAGAGCATAAGTGGTGATTATTTCTGATCGGACCTGTAACAAGGCAAAACAAAACGTTAACATTAACGTTTTCTTTTGTGCAGTGCTCACAAATTTATACTTGTAGCCCAACAACACTGTCAACATCCAAACTCCAAGTAAGGACATTTACTCACAGATATCCATTGTCTTTCACCTCCAACGATTTCATCAAGTCCATTCATTCTGTTGTCCTTCAGTTCAGATAATTTCCCATAAGCAACAAACTCATTGAGGAAGAGCTTTGTGCCAATTAGTTCAGCCACAGTGAAACTCTCATCATATGGTACCCCCATCATGAAGGCCACGGGCATAAACACGTACGAGCAAATTAACTATGAACACAGACAGGCAACAGTTTACTTGGATATTGTTAGGCAGAAATAAATGTCAGGATAATTAATTACATTTTGAAGTTATCACAAGATAAATTAATTAAATTCTAAAACACTAAAAAGTTATCATCATTATCAAAATGTTACAATCAAGTTATCAGTCTTTTGCTAAATCGTACCTGAAATGTGATTGCGGGATATCCCACCATTCCTCCAAGCCAACTCAAAGCTTGATTTATGAACCCGAGGATGGCCAGAAAGGCTATCAAGTTTGCTGCAATGTTAGCAACAAGACCTATTGAAGCAGATGCTCCATTGCTAGCGGCCTCCAGGATGTTCCGTTCATCTCTAGGGTGTTTAAAAAAAAAAAAAAGTCCTTTAACTAAATCACAAAAGCAGAAAAAAGAAAATCATGAAAGGATTTAGAAGAAACGAAGAGGCACACACCCACAAGCCACTTTAATGTTCTTCTCTGACTTGAAGGGACTCTCCTCTGTCTCTGGATAAGACAGCTTGGAGATGGCCAAGGCACAAGGAGCAGCCATCACAGAGGCTGATATCAAGGAAGATGCATCAATCTGCAAAATACAATGGCACATCATTTAAATCAGGGCACTGTGATGGAGTTACTGCAACGACTAGCAATTGAAACAGCATTTGACATTTGCATGATGCGAAGATTTAACTGTTGTTGAAATAATTAAACTTTTATCGTGTTTTTTGTTTCAGCTTTAAAACACTATTACTTTATTTCTTAAAGTTGGTATTAATCTAAATGTAATGTCTTTGCAGCTTTCTTCAGAAATAAAATAACTACCACTCGATCAGATAGACTATAACACCAAGCATGTTAGAGACAACTGTCGTCACTCTGCTAATTGTGCCCTTTATCATGTGCCCAGCAGTTTCTTAAGGTGGTCTTTGACTGCTTGTCAGCAGAACTACTGCACATTATTACCCTCTCCCTACAGACTGGCTTCTTTCCCTTGACCTTAAAAGCTGTTTTGGTTCAGCCTGTTCTGAAGACGAGCACTCTTTATGATGGTAACATGAATCTCTATTGAGCAAAATACTGATTTAACTTTAGGTACCAGACTTTACTGGCTCCAACTGAAGGAACATGGGTCGGGCTCTCTGGCACAGTTCTGGACAGGTTGAGGTCTCGCCTGATAGTGTGAGACTACAGTGGGGAGTTCTGTTTAGAAAGAAGAACATTTTCCTTTGGTGCTTCAGTCCTGGGTCTTTTCTGTGTGTACATGCTACCAATAATTTAAGCACGGACAAAACAGAGATTTTCTTCATGGGGCAACAGTGAAATACACATTCATGATTTGGTTTACACTTGTCTTGATTACTGTGTTACACTGTTCACAGCCCCTCTGGGTTCAGAGTACTGCACCCACGATCCTCACCAATGTAAAACTGAGTGCACACATCACCCTCGGACTAAAATCTCTCCACAGACTGGGACCATAGAATTAATTTCAAGCTGTTTGTCATCGTTTTCAAATCTGTCCACCTACTCACTCCAGACAACAGCACTGGCCTCACAGTTTATGATCTGAACAAATCCCTGAGCTGTGCTGTCACTGTCACATTGACCAATTGGCAAAAGTGACATTAGCTACATTAGTTTGGTTTATGTGGCCACAGACTCTGAAGCAGTTTCCCTCCATCATAATATCATAATAAAGGGAGACTGCTCCAAATGCATATCGGGGGGACCGGCTAATATTATACAGATATTATAATGTGCACCTTGCTTATGACTTTTAAAAGAAAACTTAAACCTCCATTCACCTAGGAGAATCTAATCTTCACTCTGTTTTACAAACACAATGTAAACAGTTACTCATTACAAAAATCTTCTATTCTAACCTACTGCATCTCTCTGTATGAAATGTGCAATATAAATATAGTTCTATTATTATTGTTATATGTACATATGTATTATGTGCAGGTATAAAAACAGCTTCATCTCACCCCAAATGAGATGAACGCCCCCATGACACTGCCTGCAATTGTGGCAAATCCACCAGTCATAACAGCATGGATCTCAGATTTGGTCATGTCCCTCAAATAGGGGCGGATCAGCAGCGGAGCTTCAGTCTGATGCACAAAAAACACAATGTAAAGGTAAACAAGCAGAGTAACTAGTTTTGTTGTTTTTTTTTTTACTCCAGTTATTAATGATCACGCTAACCCAATCACAAAACTAAAATATAGACATTCAAACTCATGAAATTTCAAAGCAAGACAAAGATAGTGCAGCAAAGACATCAAGCCTTGCCCAGATTACCTGCCCAACAAATATATTGCCTGCCACACTCAAGGTCTCTGTGGGAGAGGTTCCCATCGTTATCTGCATTACCCATGAGATCTGTGTGGACAAAAACACATGGCTCGTGGTCACAGTATATCACTGCAAGCGTAAGCAATATACACCTACACATACAGGAACATGTAAGATATTGTGACGTACATGTTTTAGCCTTGCCTTACCTTCAATATGAGCCACTGCATTATTCCCAAAAAGTAAAGGACTGACATCACACTGCTGAAGAACACAACAATGGGCAAAGCCTAAAGATGAAATCACAAAATTAGAGTTAAAGACATTCAATTTAATAATAAATAAATAAAATAATGTGTAATCTCGGTTACATGAAGAATAAATTGTCCTTAATAATTGTGTAAATCCTCTTACTTGAAAGGCAAAAATGTCTGCAATTAGATCCCCAAAAACAAATGAAGACCCTTCTTTGGTGTAGTCGAGGAAATTCTGTAATTATCAGACAAAGAAGAAAGATGGGTTATTATATAATTTCAAATGATTATTTATTCCCTCACACCATTATTTATTATATTAATGATGCAATTACTTAATCATTTACATTTTACAATAGGAACTAAAGCAGCAACTTAGAGACAGTGGGCTGAACCACACATTAAAAAGTGATTAACAGACCACGCCCCTGAGTGCACATTCTGCTGATTCAACCCTTGGCTGAGGCAGGAATAAGGAGGGAATAGTCTAATAAAGCAGCTCTAAAGATAAGCATGTATGATCCACTCAGATAAAGAATATTATGAGCTACTAGATAAAGAACACTGTGTAATACAAGTAAAGAGTGTTATGTAAACCAAGAGTTTCGGGATATGATGTGACAGGAAAAAATGCTGGATAACACATTTCACAGAAATAATTCTCTTGTTATTCATTAGGGTTTTTTTGTTTGTTTATATTTTGGTGTGTTTCATATACATCTGAAAAAAAATTATATTTTTGGATGTTATTAATAGTACTATATAAATAAATAGTATTGTTATTTATAATGAACAACTATAAGGTAATGGGAGTGATCATTTCTAATTAAAAAAATCTAGTAAGATACAACTTTCTATACACCTTCTTACAAACAGAGAGTTAATCATTTACTTTACAAAATGAAAACATTCAAATGTAATACCTGCACTTGTTTTCCAAGCCATTCAAAAGCAATGAGTCCAGGCTGTGTTCTTATAACAAAAAGGCCAACACAGAACTGCAGCCCGAGACCCCAAAACACAGGCCTCCATGATATCTGAAAAGATTTTTAAAAAAAGAGTCATTTGAGAATCATTGCATTGGGGAGTATCCATAAAGTCTTGTGTTATCGGTAGGAAGCACCTCTGTTAAACCTTAAGATGATAGAGGTACAAGGCCAAGTGATATCCAAAGTCTCAGCAAAACAGACTAGAGATAAGTTGAGCGATAACACCCCAGGCATGTTTCGAAACAGATGTCACCACAGTAATTAATCATCCTTGAGTGGAGTCACTGGTCGACTCAGTGTAAAACTCACCGCTGTCCTGTGTGCTGAGAAGAGGAAAACAAGCACGATGAACATACACACACCCCCGAACGATATAAGCCGCTCAGGTTGCTGGCTCGTGTCCAAGATGAGCCACACCACGAGCAGGACCACAACCGCTAAGATGAAAACCCTGTAAAACACAATGAAAAAAATAAAAACACACACCTTCACTCATTAACAGACTCCATTGTGAGTAGCTCTTCATCACACCAAGGACAATGCAACTGAAAGCATGACGTCCACTCACCATTTCATCCATTTCAGGTTTGATTTAAAGCATCTGACCGCCGGTCTGAAACACCGACTGATGCTTTCTCCTTTGTACTCTTTCAAAAGATCATATGATTTAGCAACAACAGCCAAACTGGTTAGGACTACAAGAACGATGGCCCTCTCGAAATTCAATACACAGGCTGCAATGAAGAATGCCACATAACCTAAAGAACAAAAAACAGTGCTTGGTCAAAAATCGTTGTCAGTATTCACGTGATTACTCCTACCTGGTCATTGCCTTCTAAATAAATATCATAAAACCTCAATAAACTGCTATATGCTGTAAAAATTTAACCCAAATGATCAGATTTTTAACATTACCTGCTCCAAGTATTCCCAGCACAATGCATTTGAAGATTTTTGAGTGAGACTTGATGTAATCCTCAGTGGCATTAATCGGCTTGGTAACTTGGCTGAAGTCCAGAACAAAAATTAGAAGGTCCAATTCTGAACAACATATACTGTTTCAAATATCCTTCTGTTGAGTGAATAAAAAATGTCTCTCTTATTACTTTATAGATTCATTTTCAAGTAATGGATATTTGCCCTAATATTGTTGATTTTTTTGCATTAAATTCAATCAAATCTCAACACACAGGAAAATAAATCTCACAGAGATTACAGCAGCACAGAAAACAGGTGCACAGATTTTGCGTTGTATGTATAATATCAAGCTTACACATTTCTATTTACATACGGTATAAACCATATCAACATTGCAGAGGCATAATGCTGTACACCTGCTGTGTTTCACCCCCAATAGAACAAATACTACTTTTGTTTTACAAAATGTGATTACTTATATTTGAACTGACACACCTTAGGTATGATCCCAATCCCTTTTTAGTCTCTTTAGTCTGCCCTCTGATGCTGTTAGTATCAGTAATGATGTCCTCCTACAAAAATAAAGACATTTTTACTTTTTTTAAAAAATGATCATGTTGTGCCATTTTCTTTAAAAATGAAAGATGACACATACCTCTATTTCAAAAGCCTGGTTGACCACGCCATTTCCATTGGTGTGGGATACATTTTTCAGCTGGACACCGTCGATTTCGGCTGAAAAACAAAAAAATTGTTTACTTCTGTGCAGGAGCGTTGAGGAAAGCAGCTTCAGCTTGAACAATCAGCAATGCCAAACAAGTAACAGGCAGTCTCTCTGTGTACTCTGAGATAAAAGAAACTTAAAATAAATCCACAGAGTCCTGGAGGCTTATCTTGTGAAGAGTGGTGAACAAAAATACCAGTTCACAACTGCAAAACAAATGGCTTAATTCAAGGAAAAGAAGAGCTAATGGCTTACTCATTGTGAGTCCTCCTAAACCCGGCTGTGAAGTGCCGTTCTGTAAAAAACACAGCGGGAAAATATACTCTGCCCTCTATGAAAAATCTTATCATTAATTAACAGACAGACACGTTACGTGCTGCTCTGATCTTTCTCACGAGTACATGACAGTGTCATTATGCAACAGATTTTTATTTATGAAGTTGCACTTGACTGGACGTGATGTTGGCCAGGTTCATCATTTGCTAAATGATAAAATGGGAATTTTTCCTCAGCAGTAAATCGATTGGAGATGACTCGGAGCCTGAAAAGCTGATACATGATAATACAAGGCATTAAAGAATGTGGTGGTTCGATCATGAATGAGTTTATCTGTTGAGCTTGTGCTCCACATCATACAAGTCATACAAGGTCTCCTATTTATAAAGAACAAGAATAAATTTGTCACAAGGATGTGAATCAACAACATGATGAATGTTACTAAACCACAAAACTGAATCACACTTATTCTGTAATTTCAGAAAGTGTAGCTCACATTACTCAAAGCCAGGAATGTGAAAACTTGTATTTCTAGAACAAAACCTTGTCTCTTTGAATGACGAATGAATGATGTTCTGAAGAATGAATATATCAAGTACTCACTGTACTATCAGATAGCCTTGAGATCAGTTATGGCCATTTTGTGGTCTATTAAATATATAGCAGTGCAATTACCTTTCAGGGTTAAAATTCATGATTGGAAATAACAGCAGCTATTTGTTCCACTTACTGCGTTTCAAATTTGATCTTCTCTCGCACAAAAAACAAATGTCTGATTCAAAAATACAGTTATTCCACAGTTCATAACACTCAGTGTGTGCTCAGTCGGTCTGGATGAAGGTGATAAACATTAATTCTTGTTTTAAAACCACAAGACATTTGTGTTCACTAAGTTGTCAGAAAGCCTCGCAGACCCTGAACTTCATTAGCAGAGGTTAATGACACTGAATGCCTTGGTTCACTAAGTCAAGACATTCTTTTTATGAACACCATCAACTCATTTGCCAACAGAACAGACAGTTTAGATGTGGCAGTAATAACTTGAGAAATGTAATAGCTGAGCGAATGACTGTACTGCTTACAATACAAAAAAAAAATCAAATTTATGTAACTCAATTTAGTTAATATCTCACCATTCAGTGTGTTCATTGTTCCCTTTAATCACTAATTGTGTGTAGGCTACATATGGTCACTGATACTCCATGTAGCTGTTAGAGCCTGTTACATTGCTTCTGTTAAGTTTACACTTAATTAAGCTTTTTTCATTTTTTTTATCTGATACCAAAGTGCTCCAGGCCTGTGCCTCTATAATCTTAACAGGAATTGGTGTCACTACTGTACTGCCTGACTAGTGGGAAGGGAGACATTTGAACCTTTACTCCCTCAAGTATGTCTTACAGGATATCAAAACACAGCTCCTACACTGATACACATACTTTGTCCCAATTCAGAGGCACCTGAGCTCGTGGATCTTCCACACAACCTAAAAGCTAAACCTGCCCTTCAGACATTCCGCCTTAAATCACAGACAGAAATTATAACATGTGGCAGGAAAGTTGCCCTTAAATGACCCACAAAGTGTAAATACCACTGGGAAACTGGGGTGAGTTTATTTCCAGTTCAGGATCACAGTGTGAGTTGTGGTCTTTCACATAATGGACATAATGGCAAATATTGTACCAGTTCTATTGTTAATCTATCTACATTCAATTCCACTTTGCTTTATTTCACCAGGAAAATCCACTCAGTATCAATACTGCATACCACGTAGTCCTAGGTACATATATTAAAAACAAACAGTAAAACAATACCTTATCTTTCTCTGTGATGTCCTGTGATTTACAACATATCCAGGTTGCTAACAAGAGCAAACAGCAGAACTGATGCCTGGTTTCCTTTATTTACATCCTGATTATAAATTGACAAAACACTCTGTTTAAGCATTAACTGCCACAATGGACACTGAGCATAACAAAAAGTACATGGGTTGTTTTGCTGTTAAGATTAACATCCAACTGGTAATTATGTCTGCTTTGGTATTTTTCTGATAGCTTTACCTTTACACAACAGTGTGTCCAAAGAACATCAACCAAATCTCACTGTTCAGGGTAACAAAATCTTAGTTTAAATGTATTTTGATCATGCAGACCATTTATTATCTATATTACTGTATTTCTTTACGTGTGTTTCACCACCTTGAGTTGTAACTGACTTCTGTTTACAAATTGCTTGAATGTTCACCATTTTATTTCCTTTGGACTTAGGACGTTTACCAGGCAGGGTGTCTAATGAAAGAAGCCATTGAGTGGCATTATAGTTGTGTTTCAGCTTTGGCCAATTTTTTCTTTAGTGACTCACCCAGTTTTATTGGGACTACATTTCAGAAGTAGCCCACCCCATTAGGAAATTCACAATAGCAAAGTTACATGCACAAGGTATGAGCAGGGAGTGTTGTACTTTAGCAACAACAGTGTGCAATAGTTCAGGGCCCTGGTGTGCATCTCTTTAAAGTTTGATTTAGGTATAAGAATGGTATTAACATACTTATCCCAAATATTACCCTCATACTTTTTACTACTCACCTGACACAGCAATGCCAACGTTTGTGCATTGCAGCAGCTGGTCCTATTCAAGCGGTCAATAGCACCTCCTGTCGTCTGTAAGACAACGCCGAGGGTTGAATCACTCAGCCACAGGAAAAGGAAAACGAAGTTAGCTTGTAGCCTAGCTATGAAACCATGAAACCCTGCAATAGCCAAACCTAGTTGGCGAGCACTCAGCGCCTACTGTTAACTACATAGATAATTTACTAGATCTGTTAAACATAACCGGATCAAATGGTAAGCGAACTTGTGCATCGATATACGTGACGAGTTTAGGTTACTAGCTTGGGTGAATTATTTGCGCGCTAACATGTTGCTAAGCTAGGTTGCTAACTTACTGGCTTGGCTCCGTTATGTAGCCACTCGGCTAACTGACTGTATCTTCAGTGTTAGCTACGCTAACATCAAAACAACTGTCAGTAGTCCAGCCTATGAAGTAGTTGATACATTTGGTGACTGTGTGAGCACAGCAGTCTGTGTTAAATGTTAAGTCACGTGTGTTAATGCATGTTTCTCTACAAAATAGTAGCTGCATAGACGAAAACCAGCCAACCTTTGCTACGTTTAACTTGCTAGCCACAGCTAACGTTAGTATAGAGGACGGTACCCAGCTGCCAAACGGTTATCTGTCAGATTGTAAAACACCAGCGGTATTTAAAGCTCTACCTGTAGTGCCTACTCTGTGCATTAAAAACTAACCTTGCACGTGTTTCTATAGATTTATGAGACTGCGCAGCCATGGGTGACATGAAAACCCCAGATTTCGATGATCTTCTAGCTGCCTTTGACATCCCAGATGCCACAGGGTTGGATGCCAAAGAGCCCATCCAGGGGAGTCATGAGGAGTCAGAGAGTCAGCTGAAACACACGGGGATATGTCTTGATGACAGCTTATTGAGTAACCAAGCTGTCTCAACATCAGATGTTCCTGTTGTAAGTGTTATTGTGAAAAACACAAGTCGCCAGGAGTCATTGGATGGTTTTGGCGATAGGCTTCACTCAGGATCAGCATTGCAAAATGGATTCAGGGGACAAGAGACTTCCATTGACTCTGTTGATACAACTAATTCTGGCTTCTCCAAATCATTTGTCTCTGCCTTGAATGGGGAGAGTTCAAGAGAGTTTCTCGGAAAGGCACCTATTCAGCACAAACCTGATGGAACACCAGTATTTTCCCAGTCACTTTCTCATTTTAGTCCCATCTCAAGTCCTGAATCTGAAGACACTCAGTGTAGTAGAGATGAAATGCATCCAAAACAAGAGAGACCCTGTTTCCCTGAAGCTTCAGTTTTGGTGGAGCCTTCAGTCCCAGACAATCCAAAAAATTTGGACCTCAGCATGTTTGATGATTGTCCAAAGAACTCTGATATCCCCAAGAACACTCAAAGGAGCAGAACAGAAAGTAGTAGAAGCGAGAAGCCCTCAGACATCTGTGTCAGTAATGAAATTGATACAACACAGAGAGTACACAGTGCACTTCCGCCGCCAAGCGGTAACCAGAACTTTATTGAGACAAACTACGATTCAGGAACCTCAATGGATGTTCCAACCTCTTATCCACATGTCAAATCTCAGACATCTAAATTATCCTCTTGCCTTGAGGCTTTGGTGGCTCTAAATGCTAGAAAAGATCCCAGTGAGCAGACTAATCCCAGAGAGACATCAGCAGTTCAGAATGACTGTGTGAAAGCTAGCCCCAAGGTGCCCATATCCCCACGGAGCCCCAGAAGTCCACTTGAAGCTGTGAAACGGTTATTGAAACCCTCTGATAGCCCTGTAAGCATCTGCAGTGATAGTAGTGGCAAAGCATCTCCTGCATTGGCATCAGGTTCACCTCCTGCTATACCCAGGGTCAGAATAAAGACCATCAAAACAACATCTGGGCAAATCAAGCGCACAGTCACCAGTGTGCTGCCTGATTCAGAAACAGATGAAGTTCATTCTACTTATGAATCCTCTCCATCGCAGAGTATGATTAGTGAAGACTCTTACTGCAATATGTCTCCTCATCAGTCTCAAGGTGCAACTGTTGATAGCATTGTTGGAATACAGAATAAAGGCACCTCAGCTAGTGCATCTTCACCAAAAGTATTACACAACAAATCAGAAGCAAACTCCAGGAGGTCAGGCACAACACAGTCCGCAACAGTATTTCATAATACTAGTGTTCCTGTCAAAAGATCTGTCGCACATCAGGGCCAGAAACCAAAGAGAGTGACAGCCACAACAGGTCATACAACTAGCACAAACTTCCTTCCCAAAGCAATGCACTTAGCTAGTTTAAACTTGGTCCCTCACAGTGTTGCTGCGTCAGTAACTGCACGGTCAACGTCTCATCAACAAAGCCAACACACACTCTCCTCTACGGTGTACAGCACTGTCCCATTGGTGCATCAGGTCAAA